CTGTGCAGGACCAGGAGTTGGATTTGTGATCCTTTTAGCCCCCTTCCAACTGGAAATATCCCATGACCCTATAAAATGAGATTTCACATCCAAATACATCTCTAACCCCCTTTTCCTCGTGTTTCCTGCCTCCCCAGGTCGAAGCAGCGCCGCCTCTTGTGAGACATGGACAGAGGCAAACGGGGAATTTGGGGGTGTCCTGTGTAGGGCCAGGAGTCGGATTTGTGATCCTTTTGGCCCGCTTCCAACTGGGAATATCCCATGACCCTATAAAAAGAGATTTCACATCCAAATTACGGCTCTAACCCCCTTTTCCTCATCCCCCAGGTCGGAGCAGCAATGCCTCCTGTGAGACACAGATCAGTGCAAACTGAGGGAGTTTGGGGTGTCCTGTGCAGGGCCAMRAGTCAGATTTGATGATTCTTCCAACTCAGGAYATCCCATGACCTTAAAAAAAAGAGATTTCCCATCCAAATTACATCTCTAATCCCCTTTTCCTTGTGTTTCCCACCTCCCCAGGTCGGAGCAGCGCCGCCTCCTGTGAGACATGGATCGATGCAAACATGTGGGGCGGCTCCGACTGGCCCAGGACCACTCGATCCTGAACCCACAGAAGTGGCTGTGCGTGGACTGCCACAGCACCGAGTCGCTCTGGGCCTGCCTCAAGTGCTCGCACGTGGCCTGCGGCCGCTACCTGGAGGAGCACGCCCTGCGCCACTTCCAGGAGAGCCGCCACCCCTTGGCCATGGAGGTGCACGAGCTCTACGTCTTTTGTTACCTGTGCCAGGATTACGTCCTCAACGACAACCCCGAGGGCGACCTGAAGCTGCTGAGGAGCTCGCTGTCGGCCATCAAGGGCCGGAGCAGCGGCCGGACGCTGCGCTCYGCGGCTCAGCAGGACGCGTGCAGGAGCGGTCCCCAGGGCCAGTCGCAGACGCTGACGGCGCTGTGGCACCGGCGCCAGGCGCTGCTGGCAAGAGCRCTGCGCACCTGGTTCCACAGGAGCTCACGGGGACAGCTGAAGTTGAAGGAGAAGAAGGAGCTGGAGGAGCTGGAGAAGAAGAAGGAGGCGGCTCGGCAGCGGCGGCGGGAGATGAAGAGGCGGCTGCTGGAGGAGCTGGCCAACGCTCCGCCGAGGAAGAGCGCCAGGCTGCTGTCGCACGTGCACGGGGAGAGCTCCGCGGCCAGGAAATTCAGGGAGGTGGCCACGGCTTCCCCTACCTCACGGCAGGTGCACAGCAGCAGGTTGAAGCAGTTCTACTCCATCCGGCGGCAGCCGCTGATGACTCCGGGCGTGACGGGGCTCAGGAACCTGGGCAACACTTGCTACATGAACTCTATCCTGCAGGTGCTCAGCCACCTGCAGAAATTCCGAGAATGTTTCTTGACTCTGGACCTCTGTGAAACGGAAGAACTTTTAGCCAAAACTGTCAACGGCAGGGCCAGGGTGCCCGGCAGGCTGGCAAACGGAGCCGCTGCTCCCCAGCCTGGCGAGGTGAGATCGTCCGGCACGCAGAGCTCGCCGGCCGGCTTGAACGGCGGCGGCTCCTCCATCAGCCGCAGCTTGGAGCTCATCCAGCCCAAAGAGCCGAGCTCCAAGCACATCTCCCTCTGCCACGAGCTGCACACGCTGTTCAGGGTGATGTGGTCGGGCAAGTGGGCCCTGGTGTCGCCCTTTGCCATGCTGCACTCTGTGTGGAGCCTGATCCCGGCTTTCCGCGGCTACGACCAGCAGGACGCTCAGGAGTTCCTCTGTGAACTGCTGGACAAGGTGCAGCAGGAGCTGGAGTCCGAGGGCACCAAGCGCAGGATCCTCATCCCCTTCTCRCAGAGGAAGCTCACCAAGCAGGTCCTCAAGGTGGTCAACACCATTTTCCACGGGCAGCTGCTCAGCCAGGTATGGAATTGTTTTT